GGCCTTCGAAGCGGGACTGCTTGGTGGCTCCATTGGTGGCATAGTCCTTGGGTTGCTGATGCTGATCCTTGCCTCGCTGCCTTTGTGCTGCGGTGTGCTGAAGCAGTACGGGAAGGCGTGCAACTCGCTCTCGTTGAGGGCAGTAGGAGCAGAGAAGAAGCAGAGGGAAATGAAGTCACAAGAACTGCTGCGCAGGTCATTGCCGCCATCGCTATCGTTTTGGGACTCGCCGCCCTGGGCATCCCGTTCTTGGGTTCCATGGGCGCCTGCGGACCCTTCGTCGAGCACATCTGCGACGACCTTTGTCCAGATCAGATCCAGTGCACGCAATTGGACAGGGACAACTTGAGCGCGACATGCAATGCTCTGGGATTCTTGGTGGTCTACATCGGAGCTTTTGGCTGGGCCGCCTGCGTGCTGGGCATCGTCGCTGCCAGCCTGGGGTGCTGCGTCTGCTGCCAGTGCTGCAATGCAAAGCTCGATGACGGCCCAAAGCAGGGCCAGCCCGGCCAGCCCACCGTCGTTGTTGGAGCCGTTCAGCAGCAGGCTGGGACTCGATGATAACCGTGGAGAGTTAGTGCTTTGTTAGCTTTCTGACGCATGTCTTTCCCAGGCATGATGTTGCACTGATGACACGACACGCAGGGGAGGCTGGACACAATGCTCATATTTAAATAGGCATGTGCAGCCCGTCCATAGCGTTCCCAAGGCCGTTGGGCGATTGATGAGCCACAGAGCTGGTGCATGTGCTTGAAGGTCACTGACTGGTCTCTTGAGAAACAGCTCCATGTCCGAACTGCACATGCTCCGGCTCGCACGCAAAGCCTGTCACAACTGGCGTCACATCGCAAGATGTTGGATAGCCGCAGCAGGACAGGAGTCTAGCGCCTCTCAATTGGTCCGGCAGCAGGCAAGTCCAACATTCGAGTTATGTCGAGACAGCCTGCTGCTGGAGTCTTGTTCCTTGGTAGTTCATTTGTTGAACATCTGCACTTGCATGTGACATCGAGACGATTGTCGCGGACTGGTTGAGAAGAAAGCTTGGTGGCGTTCCATTGCTGGAAACCTGGCGTTCAATTGCTCGCTGAGCACAGTGCTGTTCAACACTCAATGCTCGAGCCTCATCAAGCTGGCTCAAGCATTAGCCATCACGGCTTATTCGCAGTTTCTCAATTTCACAGGCAACATTGCCGACCCATAGCAGGCAATTTCGCAGTAGAGCACTGGAGCCAGCCCAGGCCTTGCCAGGCCTTGCCAGGCCTCTAGGAGAAGGCATTTTTGACCCCACAGCCCCAGCCACCTCTGAGACTAGGCAGGACCCGGGCATCTGTGGGTCCAATCTCCGGAGCCATGGCTTTGACCATGGGCTTCCGCAAGGCAGCATTCTCCTACGGAGAGATGCGAGGAGGTGAGAGACCTGAGCCACATGGGGTGTGTCAGGCATTGGCAGGGCTCTTCCTGGTGGTGCCGGCCTCGACTTCCCATTCCGCTCCCGCTTGAGTTCTGAACTTCCCAGGTTTGCCTGGCCGAAGCCGACAAGCAGGCGGAGCATGTTAGGACTGTTAGGACATGACCTAAGAAGGGTCTGACGAAGAGATGTTCAGGCCGAACTCGAGCCCACCGACGAGGAGCCGAAACTGTTACTGCCGACCCGGCCCAGCCACAGTCGCCCATGTCACTAGACGCAACCGGAGAGAGGCTTGCAGCAGAGCAATCAGGAGATCATGGCTCTCTTCCATCCCTCCATTGCTCCTTGGCTGCAGATGAAATTGGCCCAACTCGGCAGTAGACAGGCACATAAAAAGTCACGCGTCTTGGTAAGTCTTATTGCTGCGTGTCTCAGCTGTTCGGTGTGTGTGTGTGTGTCGCATTGGTCGTAGAGTCGTAAGCATCTCTCAAGGCCTTGGCGATGGGCAGGCGGGGCCCTTCGGACTTGGATGTTTCCCCTTGAAGGGCTGCCTCCTCTGTCGCCAGGCTGGCAGCTTATTCATACTGCGGGACCGTCCTGGGCCTGCAAGGTATGTTAAGAGACTGTTAAGAGCCCGAACATGGGCTCGCACTTATCTTTCAGCTTCCCGGAAGGAACAAGCTGCAACCGGCACGAGTGGAGCATTGCCCTTCTTGTGAGCGCGCGGGCTTTGAGGCTAGGCTTTCCATTGTTCCCGTTGCTAGGACGTGGCAAGAACCTGCAATGCCTTGTGTGAGGTGGTGAAGGGCTCTGTGGAGAAGCTGTTTGTGCCGTTCCTCGGTGGAACGGTGCCAGCGTTCCATTTTAATTTTGATTATGGACGCGAAAGTACCTGAAAATCCGAGGTTCCACGACGATCCCGAGGCCTGGCAATGATGCCCATTTCCGATGACATTGAATTGAACTCTCTGTACCCTCGGAGCCCAGATGTTGGCATTCAGGGCAGACAGGGGTTAGCGATCACGCTCAAGCTTCCTGGCGCGGCGGCGCGTGTCCACTTGCCCCTATCAGTGTCATCCCGAATGCAGGCGAACTTTTTCATTCTGGCTCAGTTTGTCCGCACCGACGACGACGCGAAGGCAGAAGTTCATCGGTCTGTGTTTAGGCTCGCAGCAAAGCCTGTCGCAGGACGTGCCTTCCAAAGGATGCTTCGTCGTTACTCGCGGGAGCTCGAACAAGGCTAACTGGGTATCGAACTTTCAGATGGCCTTTCGCCTCAGAGTTGCGACGCATTGGGACCTCTGATGACGCACGTGTCATGTGTGTAGTTCTCTAAATCAGGGTCCCCTTCTGGGTCCCCAATATAGTACGGCACCCTTATAAACAGGACCCTAAAAGGGACCCGAGTTTAGAAAACTACCCATGTCGACGTGAGCAGGATGCGTAGCAGTGGTTGCATGTGCACTGGCTGAGCTTCTGTTGGTTGTGTCACGACTGGCTACCGAGGGAATGGTAGATCCAGAGTGGCCGCATTGCCCAGATTGCCGCTTACACAAAGGCACACGGCCCAGTGGTTTCGGCCCGGTTCCAAATTTCCAGAGTTTCGGCCCGGTTCCAAATTTCCAGATCTCCTTGTCCAGTGGACACAGCCTTCTTGCAACATTGAATGATTGAAGTACTTTCCCCGACAAATGACTGGCGGTAGGGGAAAGGGGCGATAACAAAAAACGAGTGAAGTACATTCCCTGCAACAGACACTCGCAGGCTATCATGGCGTCTATGATCGGGCGCTGCCTGGTATCCAGAAGTATCTTGAAGCTTGTCATACACTGAGACAGGGCAACAGAAACAGTCCTGTACCTGAAACTCGTGAGACCTCAATTGATAAATGTGTGTGTGTGTGTGTTTGGTTGTTGTTTGGTCAGAATCTTCAGATTGGGGCATGCAAAGGCATGCCTGGTAGCCTCTAGCTGACTCTAGCTAAACTACATGCATCGTTGAGAAACGGAGCTTTGAGAAGCATGGAGAGCTGTACCGTTACATCGGAGCGACTATCTTCGCTGCAACCAGTAACTCAACGCACGATCCCCATCGAAGAATTGATTCTTGCTTGTTGTCGCCGAAGCATACCGAAGCCGCAGGCCACCGAACCCACTGTCGAGGCTCTGATTGTTGGAACAGTGTCATGGAACGAAACATGTGCATCACTTCGGGTGACCGTGGTTGCAGCTGGCCCGCGCAATCGCCCAGGATGCTCATGGCTGCGGTCGCGAGGACTTTTTATCGTAGTGTTTTAGGTTTAAGGCTTCAAAGTTGTAAGTCTTCACTATTTCATTAATTCCGTCCTAGCAGCCTGGGCCAGGATGGCGACTCCGTCTGGATCACCGGACACTGGGCAGAGTTTCAATCTCGTGTGAAGGCTGTCGATGGAGAAACAACCCTAGCAATAAGTGCATCCAGAGTCTGCGTGGGTGCATCGTGTATCAATGCAAATTGGTGACGTAGACTGGTATGCACATAAGTATGTAAGCAAGCACCTATGCATGGATGTATGCATACGTTCATGTACGCGCACATTTGTGTAGGTATGTTAGTATGTCTGTCCGCCTGTCTGTCTGCATGTATTATGTTTATGTAATTTATGTATATGTCAATGTATATGTATGCTTGTGTGTAGGATTGTGTAGGTATACGTGTCCGAGTAGGCGTTGGTGCTGGTTTTGGTCGGTGTATGTGTAGGTGTATATGTGTCTTTATATATATATATATATGTGTGTGTGTGTGTCGGTGTACGTACGTCTACGTGTATCTACATTACGTTGCACAACCCCAGACACAGACACAAACACAGACACAGACACAGACGCAGACACAGAGACAGAGACAGAGACAGAGACAGAGAGACACACACACGCACACAAGGAGGCACACACACACACACATACCGTCATGTGCGCACACACACATGCACACACACATACCCATACAGACACACACACACGCGCACGCATACACATATATCACACATACACATACACATGCACCTACATGTGTACGGTGTACATGCACATAGTACAGGTGCGTGTATGTGTGCGTGTATATATATATACACATATGGGTGTGTTTGTATAGACACAGAAAGGCTTTGCTCTACCGTGCGACAGTTATTGGCTTTGGTCAGGACGTCGTTGCTGAGGCCATTCCTTGGGTGGAGCAGTCTCGTCCATCATGATCGCGGGGCTCACCGACCTCGGTGTCTCGACGATCTTGAAAGATGTCAACTCGACAGATGCGGACAAGCCCTTTCACGAGTTGCACTTAGTGGCAGGTTCTGTGAGGCTAGCCATGCAACTCACTTCGAGCATCAAATGCTTATCGTGGAATAGTGGAATCACAGCATGTAGCTTTCACGCACCGCCTGTCATACATGATTTACTCACCATGTCAGGTTACAATGCCAAGAGCTGAGTCTCATCAACGCACTGTGTTGGCGCAGAGATCGAAGGTGGATTTTGTTTTCACGGCTTTGCTTCTCATGACTGCCAGAAGGGCGAGAGACGTGTTGTTCAAGGTCGCGCTATCCTACGTGCTTGAGCCACCGATGACGGGCAACGAAGCTTACAGATGCCTGGCCTGTGCTTTAGAAGATTCAGATCATAGCAATGGCAGCATGTGAAGATGATAGGGACGACGATGATAACGATGACTATGGTCAATACATTGATGAGAACCTGTTTGTAATGAGTTCGTAGAGCTGGCCATGGCGATGACAATCACGGTGATGATGGTTGTAAAGATGTTGCTCGCACTTCTCTTACCAGAAAAACTTATACTGGGTGGACCCTGGCCGGCAAAGTGCCATTTCACATGGTGTCACCAGAGAATTTTGCAGATCGTATCGCACATGCAGGAATCCCGAGCCACAGTCCGGGTCTGTTTAGCGAACACTTGGCTTGAGACTTGGAATTTGGTGCCAAGTTGTGTCCGAGATTGTTTGTCTGCATCGTGGAGAATTTTCATCTTCGCAAGTCTTAAGTGTCGGCGTGCTGCTGCCACTGAGTGGCAGGTATTGCAATGCCTGCCACTGCCACATAGTCTCTACCGACCGACCCGAAAGGAGACAATCCTCAAAACCCAGACTGTGAAGATGGGACTAATTGCTTGGCTCGCGGAGCCATCCGAAACGAGATTCTTGGAAAGGTTATTGGGCAGCTCCACTGCACATGCGGGAGTGTTGGTGTAATTATCAGCAGCACGAATGGATCACCACACCCACCCGAGCTTTTGCGGGTGATGCCCACTCAGCCGCAGCATTGATGGACGGCAATCATAGTCAACTTCCAGGAGATGGTTTTTTTTTTCTCAGTGTGACTTCGGACCTGACAGAATTTTGCTTTCTTCGGACCGAGGGGTCCTGACAATCCCCAGGTTCAGACAAGTGAGGATTCCAGCTCGCAGCGAGAGCTTCCTTAATTGTTGCCTGTGTATGCTCAGGCAAAGGTCTTGTGCGGTTTTGGCCAGCAGATGGGCAATCATGTTTCGTTTGGCCTGTAGATCTCAGTCACAGTCTCTATTGCAAATGTCCATGGTGTGCCAAGATCAACATTTGCGGTTTCTGCAGATGCTCTGCGAACTTATCAAGCGGTTGAATCAACGAAGCCCAGGGCAGTACTTTCTGAACAGCGTGGCGCGCAACCACCAGCCCGTGCCAGTCATTCGATTGACGAATGGCCAAGACACGGCGCCAAGCTGCTCGACAAAATCGACCTGCGGATCGGTATTGCTGCGTCATGGCTGAAAGAATCCCCCTGAGAGGTTATCCGTGGAACACCAAGCTGGCCGCGTATGTGCCTTTGCCATACGAAACTTGGCAGCAACAGCGCCATTGAGGCAAGCACACATACATACATGCACACATACATGCATGTACATGTGCATGCTTACGTATGTACATACGTACAGTCTATCTGTGTATTCAGGAGTACACGCTAAATCGTGTAATCAGAACATGTGAGGATGCGAAAATGTCTGACGACATGCATGGTTATGCAACGCATGTACGACGCATGCACACACGAACGAGCTAGGGATGTATAGAAAAATATGTAGAAATAAAAAGACATGTAAAACGATTTACCAACAAATGAGCATATGGGGAAACAGACAGACTCATAAATACCCATATGTATATATATATATACACACACACACACATCTCTCTCTGTCTCTCTCTCTCTCTCTGACTCTCTCTCTCTCTCTCTCTCTCTTTCCGTCTCTCTCTCTCTCTCTCTCTCTCTCTCTCTCATCCTCCGTCTCAGCACCAAATGTATACATATAACTATGAATATAAATACACGTGTAATCACGTGTATATTTTCCCTCATATTTATCTGTGCGTGTGTGGCGTAAGTATGCAAATACATCTACATATACATGTACATGGTCATATGCCTATATATGTACATATACACATGCATGTACACGTTCATGTACATCTGAAACACAGATACCCAGACATGCGGATACAAGCGCATGCATACATACGTACATACATACGTACATACATACATACATACATACATACATACATGCAAGCATACATACGTACGTACATAAAAATGCCTGCAAGGGATGCTGGATGGCAGCAATGCAGTCAGTGCAGACACGGACTCATTCCGGTTTGTGGGATCACAGAGCGCAAATCGACTTTCAGGAATTCTTTTCCGACCCGGTGTGGGGCACGCATCGGATCTGCAGAAATGCTTCGACGGATTGCGCAGCAGGCTGGAGAGGGTTCTTGTGCATGTGACCTCACGACTGAGGCCGCAAATCATTGTTTTTGAAGCCGTGCGACCACAGCATGGATCTCGCACGATCTTTATGTCGTGCTCTTGCACAACATCGACTTCCACGACTCGCTGCAGCAACCTTTCATGACGCTTGTGATGTGGGATAGCTTCTTGCAGATGCCTCGTGCACACTCTTCTCACGATGAGATAGAGGGCCGAAGTCAAAAGACGACGAGGCTAAAGCCCTCAATGGGTTCCATTTCCCTTGCTGCAGGTGTCGATCATCGCCAGTTCTGGGCCGACAAGTCCCTATACACTGACCACGTCATCTTATGGTGGCCTGGCTCCGCAATCCTTTGAAGCCTGCGTTCCGAGTAGACTTTGTCGGAGATTGCTCTTCGCTAAAGGTATGCTCCACATCATATGATGACAGCTGCTTGGAGGGTGCCACAGGTAGCGTCCTGCAGCAAGAACGCCCTGTGAACCTGTTGCATGCTGCAGTAAGTTGTCGCTCATGCAAGTCATTGCTTTGGAAGTTTGGGGAGTAGGGCCATGAGAACCTAGCTTAGCAGCCTAGCAGAACATTTTAGGCAATGATGACCTGTCTGCTTCTTCATGTCTGGATCACCTTGCTGCAATCCGGCCTCGCTTGGCTTTGCATTCCCATGGCCAGTGGTGCACGGTCAACCCGGATCCCGTGTGGATGTACATGGAGTTTTCTCTCGTGAGCAACTCGTCATTACTTAGAGTATATAGGTTGCAGTAGCAATTCGGCCTGGGGGCAGTTGTGGGGTTCGAGGAGCAGAGGCAAAGAGGCAGACGCAAACGAAGGGATCTCAGTAGGACTCTCTTGTCCTGTGTCCAAAGATCTATCAGGCCAATGCTTTACCCAGCCACCTCCAACCTCGAATGTTAGGGTTTAAAGCCTTCCAGGGCAGGTCGGAAGGCACAGCTCTGATCCCTAAGGTGTGGCCTTCGACCCCGCACTAGGGCTTATTTCCGAAGTCAGAGGTCGTGAGGTCGAGTCGCCAGCACTGTTGATGTGAAGACGTTGATAGCCACTTAGTCGTGTCGTTGGCTGAACGACAAAGGTTTGTACGTCTTTGTCTTTGAAGCGGGCCTATGGAATGCCGTGAGATGCTCAGCAGGAGTCCTTGTTTCTCTGACCTCGACAAGAGCTTGCTGCCATTGAAGCCTGCAGTACATCTTGCATAGATCCAAGCCGTCTATTCATGTGCAGCAGGTTGTTATTGGCACGAAAAGTTGGAGAGTCCCCTGTACTGCCTTCGGGGCCCGCATGTAAGGCTTCTCTGCAGGTAGCCGAATTCAAGAGCAAAGCTGATGAGAGTCCGATGCCTGTGCACCTTGCAGGTGATTCGGAGCCTTCTGTTGTTCATCCTTGGCGGCATCTTGGCCGGGGCCTTGAGTTTGCGGTTTTGGAGGCTGTGTGCGGCAAAGAAGAACATGTTGGCATCGTCTGGGTGCTGGTTTGCATGTAGCGAACGGCTCACTGCGACTCATCGCAGAAGCCTGCGGTCACACAGTCAGGTGGCCGTCTGCGTGCGCTGCAGCTGCCGTGGCCACAAGTGCCTGGGCAACCATTACAAGCGTATCCCTGAGAAATAGAAGAGCTACGTAGTTGGCTCTGCGTTTCAGATCGATCTGCACTTCCCCATGCCCGGCCGCAGCAGTCGGTTGCGATGTCCCATGTCCATGTGTGCCTGGTGCTCTACTTGATGATTATGAAGTGCCGGCATCTCTGGGCTTCACGCCTTCCTGAGACATCGTTTGCGTCATGCTTTTGTTGCACGAATCGGTTCTGCCACTCAGCTGTGGCTGGAGCACGAACGCGGTAGTTTGCAAGAAATTGTACAGGGCGCCCTTGAGTTTGCAGATGCAAACTTGGGTTGTCTGGATCTTAGCGTGAGAGAGGAAACAGCAAACTGTCTTGCATGTCATTTGGTTTTGTGTTCGTCTGTTTAGTGAGCATGACTGCTTCCAGGGCTGTCTGTCGAAATGTCCATGTGAATCGATTTGGGAGTTCCCTGCTTGTATCATCACGCTCCAAACCTTGCTGCTTCACCTCACGTGTTTCGTGGCGCTGCAAAAATTTCTGAATTGATCGTAGTCTTGCAGGTTTCTTTGGATTTTGTGGGTTGAGCTAGCTGCTGAGTCGATGTCACCATTCCTTGTGCGATTGAGACATGCTAAAGCCCTACCCCTAAAATTCCAGAGGCCTAAGCCTAAATCCGAAGCGGTAGATGCAAGATTTGTTGGCCAAAAGCTTCGTTTGAACTCGGGCAGAAGGGGCCCGAACCTCGGCCGAGAAGTGAAAGTTCAGGGTCTAGGGTTGGGAAGGCATCGGAGTGCTTCGTAAAAGCCTGGGACTCCTGCGGCGGCTAACAGTTCGTGTCATGGCCCGTCTGGGAAAGCAAAACTTCGGGGAACTTACATAGAACAGCTACTAAGATCATCAACATCATCGTCATCATCACCCTCATCATCGTTGTTGCTATGGTTTGTAGACATCATCATCATCATCATCGTTATCTTTATGATCGTCATAGGCACAGAAGCATAACAAGAGGATGATTCGAAATGTGCTCCATGAATGCGGGGACGGTGCTGTGAAGTAGCTCGGCCTGGCAAGCTTGCATTTAGAAGATGCCCAGACTGGTTTTTGTTGCCTTGGGAAAAGGAGGTGTAGCTATGGGTGCTTGGGTTGGCGGATGGTGAGGCTTCTTGCAGACTAATGGGGGGTTGTTCGAGGTGTCCGTCGGTGTCTGTCGTTTCGTGATGGGACGAAGCTGGAGGAACACGACTTTTCGCCTGTAGCCGCCCAGTCTGGAGCTTTCTCGAAAAGACCAGGCTGTGGAAAGCTTGGGCAGGCTAGATGCAGGCCATTTTGACAGTGCGCACGTGGGTCAGAAGGGCGGAAGCAAGAGCGGATAATGAAGATGGAAATGGGCCAAGGAGCCCAAAATGGCCTAAAACTGCAAGCCCAAAACCTAACACCTAACGACCTAGAACCCGAAACCCGAATTAGAGCTCATAAGTTTTCAGCCGAACCGGCGACCGTGTTTGTACCAGTGGCTCGAACTGCAGAGAGTTTCGGGGCCAATCTTTGCCACATCATGTGGGCGTGAGCCTCAACGAGGGTGGGGGTTTGGGTTTGGGGTCTATGCGAAGGGTCTGTGTTCAAGAGGATTGAAGCCGTCACACGATGTCAGTGTTGGTCCCCAGTTGCAGGGTTTCGTGAATCATACAGGCCGCGATGCAGCAGGTTTATAGTTGACTAAGTTGTCGACCAAATGGCAACTGTTCATATTGGCTTATCGCTGGTACTTTCCTGGCAAAAGACTGCTGAGTAGTGGACTTGGGTGGGGCATGCGATTCTGTGGCAGAGGCTACGGAGGGCATCTATCCGACAGCGGACGGCTGGTGCCCGCCTGCTTGGCCAACAAACGAGGTGGGGTCGTTCGTTTTGTGATGCAGACCGACGAACCTCTGTGCCAGGATGTTCTGGCACAGGAGGACCTCGAAAAGGCCAAGCTGAGGAAAAGCCTGGTCAAGCGTTATGTGCTTGGAGGTGAGACTTGTTTCCGACTATCTTTCCGATCAGCAGCAGCCAAGGCACTGCGATCGTCAGAGGGAAGCACATCGAAACCGTGCCTCAGACAGCTTGGGTTGCATCGTTGGTGGGTTTGGGCTTGGGGCTTGGGGCTTGGACGGAGCTACTGGATTGCTTGAGGACCAAGTCACCCTCCCACAGTCCACATCCGACTAAGTAAGTAAGCATGTATGTTTGTATGATTATGTATACGTATGATTCTGTCTGTCCGTCCTGTCCGTCTTGTCCATCCTGTCCTTCCTGTCCGTCCTGTCCGTCCATGTCTGTGCGTCCTGTCCGTCCTGTCTGTCTGTCTGTCTGCATGTAAAAATGTATGAATGTATTATGTAGGAATGTAGGTATGTAGGCAGGCAGGTAGGCAGGAAGGCAGGTAGGCAGGTGTTTAGGCAGATAGGCAAGCAGGGAGGTAGGTACTGTAGGTAGGTAGGTAGGTAGGTAGGTAGGTAGGTAGATAGGTAGGTAGGCAAGGTAGGTAGGGTGGGTAGGTAGGTAGGTAGGTAGGTAGGTAGGTAGGTAGGTAGGTAGGTAGGTATGCAGGTAGATAGGTAGATATGCACGTACATTTTCCGAGTTTATGTGCACACAATCAGTCAGTCAGTCTGTCAGTCAGTCAATCCATCAATCATTCAATCCATCAATCAATCAGTCAACCAATCAGTCAATCAATCAACCAATCAATCAATCAATCAAGCAAGCAAGCAAGCAACCGACCGACCAACCAATCAACCAAGCAAGCAAGCAAGCAAGCAAGCACTCAATCACTCACTCAATCAGTCAACCATTCAATAAATCAATCAATTACTCAATCGATGAGCCAACCAGCCAACCAGCCAACCAGCCAACCAGCCAATCAGCCAATCAACCAATCAACCAATCAGCCAGTCAATCAGTCAACCAATCAACCAATCAATGAATCAATCGTTCAATCAATCAATCAATCAATCAATCAATCAGCCATCAGCCAGTCAACTTATCAACAAGTCAGTCAGTCAGTCAGTCAGTCAGCCAGTCATTCTATCTGTCTATCTATCTATCTATCTATCTATATGTAGATGTAGGTGTAGATGTAAAGGTACATGTCTATATATGTATGTATGTATTTATGCATGTATGTATGTATGTATGTATGTATGTATGTATGTATCGATGTATCTATGTATCTATGTATCTATGTAACTATGTATCTATGTATCAATGTCTCTGTCTCTATCTATGTATGCCGCAGATACTGGTGTCTTGGAGAGGTGTTAGGGTTCGCAGGTAATCAGGATTTTTGTTGGGGTGGGAGGGCTATTGTAATAGGTTTTCTGTCTGAGCTGTTCCACGCTCCAATCCTGACCCAAGGCGACTGAACCGCTGCTCATGTGAGGTACTGAGTGTGGACTTTATGGCAAAATGGAGGTTCTCCATGATGGCACCTGGGCTGCAGTTTCCTTGGAACTGTTGGATTGACCTTCTGCCGTCTGGTGCCTACCATCGAAGTCCGCAGTATGTCTGATGGGCCTCTGCAGCCGTTGAATCCCAACTCACCGAAAAAGCTGCCCTGTGCCCTATGCACTTGTGCGAGCCGATTCCCTGTCGCTGCCAAACGCAGGTCTGGCCTTTAAAGGAAAGCTCCAAGCTCTCCGGACGCGGCGACAACCGCAGCTACGTTGCAGTCCTCAGCTTCACAGTCTGACCGTCTGGCAGAGATGCGAGAGAAAGTCTTCATGTGTGCAAAGCAGCGAATGTGAGGTTTGCTGGGTCTATTATGAGCAGCAGGATGAGCAGTTGGTCGCAGCCTTTTATGAATCTCATTCTGCTCGTCAGTGCGTTTCGTTCAGGGATGCTTCTGCTGGCGGTGGAGCCCACAAGCTGAGGTGGCCCGGGCTTTTAGCAATGTGGACGTCAAGCTCAAGGACAGTGAGAAGGAGGTAAGCCGGCATGCGTCAACAATCAATCATCGAGTATCGAAGCCAGCAGTTCTCATAGAGCTTTTCACTCTACCAGTACGAGAGATGACAAGTGGTGCTCGCTTGGGATAGACAAGCATGATTGCTGCAGGTTGTAGATCCTGAGACGGCCATCAAAAACGAGCAGAGCATCCTTCGGTGCAAGGACCTCTGGCTGAACATGCAGCGGGCACTCTGTTTCGCTACAGCTGTAGATGTGTGCGGGTCTGTTGTGCTGATATATCTACATCGGTTGCTGCCAGGACCAGGTGTGCTTCTTCAGCATGTATGAGTGGGATGCTCTTGCCGGAGGCGAGGAGTGAGGTGCAAGTGCTTTTGCCAAGGCTCGTCAACTACTCGTAGGGTCGTACAGCTCCCCTCAGAACTTTCCCTCATGCCAATTCCCGTTAGCTTCAATGGCCTGTTCCTTCTACGATGATTGCGCGATTGCACAAAAGCATTGGAAAACGGGCCTAGTTGCGTTGGCCTTTGAAGGGAGCCAATGATCCCTGCTCCTGCGCAGCGCCTAGAGAAGTCGGTTATGTAGCTAGCCATGTCTCACCTAAAGTGCATCCCAGCCGAAGCTCAAGCAAAAGCAGCGCAGCTGAACACATGACAGATGTGTGCGGCTCTTGTCTTTCCAGCTGTTGGACAACTGTGGTCAGGGGAGCTTTCTGTGTGCTGATTCACAACGAAGTTGCTGGCAGTTCCACTAGCCGTGCAGGTATATAGTAGTGCTGTAGTCGCCGGAGTAGCTAGCAGTCGTATTATGATGTTATTTCCAGCATGGGTAGTAGCAGCAAGAGAAGTGGTAGCAGCAACAACAAGAGCATCAGCGAGAGGATCAGGACCAGTGGACGTAGTCGCCAGTTTTTGGTTGTTGTCGTTATCAGTGAGCAACAATCAAACAAATCATGTATACGAAGCTGCAGACGTGGTAATTTCCGGTGCCCTCGAAGACGATGCTGGTGCCTGCACCTGGCTCTCCAGCGCTATGGTCGGTGCCTGCTCCAGTCCCAGGTTCAGGCAAGAAAGCTGCAAGAATCCACCGTGAAATCTAGGTAGCCGTAGCACACGCAAGAGTCAGCCTGTTCATGAACGCATATGTGCTTGTTATTGGTGGAGGAGGAGGAGGAGGAGTAGTACTAGTACTAGTACTAGTACACTTACACTAGTACTAGTACTAGTACTAGTACTAGTAGTAGCAGTAGTAGTAGTAGTAGTAGTAGTAGTAGGAGTAGTAGCAGTAGTAGTTGTAGTGGTGGTAGCAGCGGTAGTGGTAGTGGTAGTGGTAGTGGGAGTAGTGGCAGTAGTGGCAGTAGTGGCAGTAGTGGCAGTAGTGGCAGTGGCAGTAGTGGCAGTAGTGGCAGTAGTGGTAGTAGTGTTAGTAGTGGTAGTAGTGGTAGTAGTGGTAGTAGTGGTGGTAGTAGTAGTAGTAGTAGTAGTAGCAGTAGTAGTAGTAGTAGGAGGAGGAGGAGGAGGAGGAGCAGCAGTAGCAGCAGTAGTCGTCGTAGTCGTCGTCGTAGTAGTGTGGTAGTGGTGGTGGTGGTGGTGGTGGGAGTAGTAGTAGGAGGAGGAGGAGAAGGAGGAGGAGCAGCAGGAGGAGGAGGAGGGGGAGGAGGAGGAGGAGGAGTAGTAGTAGCAGTAGTCGTCGTCGTCGTCGCCGTCGTAGTAGTAGTAGCAGCAGCAGGAGGAGGAGGAGGAGTAGTAGAAGTAGAAGAAGAAGTAGTAGTAGTAGTAGCAGCAGTAGCAATAAGTAGTAAGTAGTATGTAGTGAATAGTAAGTAGTTAGTAAGTAGTAAGTAGTAAGTAGTAAGTAGTAAGCGTCCTCTGGTCCTCTGATCGTGTGGTCCTTTGGGTCCTCTGGTCTTCCGGTCCTCTGGTCCTCTGGTCCTTGGTGTGCTCTGGTCCTCTGGTCCTGCGGCTCCGTCGTGACCCATATAAACTGCTCAGTAGTTTGGATACAGACATACTCGGGCCAAGGGCATCAGTTGGAAGACGTTTAGATCACATCCATTGCCATTGCATATGCATACATGCATTCATGCTGATGATGGCGATGAAGATGTACATGAAGATGAAGATGACAATGACGGCGGTGAGGACGGTGGTAGTGAGATAATGCTGCCTTAAGCTAATCTGAGTCTTTTTGAAACCCCGCCATTCACGATGCGAGCGGTGTGTTTGCAAATTTGGGGGGCTGCTGCGGCCCCCCCCCCCAACCCCCGGCTTGTGCAAGCTTGCTTGACAGCATATGAGTTTCTTTTGAAACCAACCATGCAAGCATTGCATTTGCAAATGCCCCCCTGTTTTAAGCTGTGTGCGAGCTTTTTTGACAGCCCCCGGGTCGTTATTGAAACTCGCCATGCATAATATGAGTCTTTTTGAACCCCCCCCCATTCACCATGCGAGCAGTATGTTTGCAAAAAGGGGGCTTGCGCCCCACCCACCCCCCGCTTGTGCACGCTTGCTTGCATGAAAGCATGTGGGTTTTCTTTTGAAGCCAACCATGCGAGCATTGTGTTTGCCAGGGAGGGGGGCTGCGCCCCCCCAACCCCCCCGCTGTTTGAGCCGAGTGCAAGCTTGCTCAACAGCCTCTGAGTCGCTTGTGAAGCCCACCATGCATAATAAGAGTCTTTATGAAACCCCGCCATTCACCATGCGAGCCGTGTGTTTGCAAATTGGGGGGCTGCTGCGCCCCCCCAACCCCCTGGCTTGTGCAAGCTTGCTTGACAGCATATGAGTCTCTTTTGAAACCAACCATGCGAGCATCGTGTTTGCAAATGCCGCCCCCGCCCCCCTGCTGATTTAAGCGGTGTGCAAGCTTGCTTGACAGCCTCTGGGTCGTTTCTGAAACCCGCCATGCGCAATATGAGTTTGAAACCTCTCCATTCACGATGTATGTTTGCAAACAGGGGGGGCTGCCCCGCCATTCACGATGCGAGCAGTATGTTTGCAAACAGGGGGGCTGACCCTTAACAGCCACCCTTTCAAACCCTCGAAAGCAAAGCCTCAAGAATCCTGGCAAACCCGCTGAAATCGTTGAGAACCCTCTCAACCCCTTTAAAAGCACACTCTAAAACATTCTACAATCGTCGCACAGCCCTCTCAAACCATCAGAAAGCCTCTTAAAACCAACGAAAAACCTTGGAAAACCCTTTAAAACCCTCAAACAGGGCAGATCCGCACCAAAAAAAGGGAAAGAAAAAGTAAAGAAAAGGAATTAACCAAAACTCAACTTTTTGATGAACCAAAACATCGAAAACAACAACCTGATCGTGTGGTCAGCATCGCCTGGGAGGGGGAGTTAGTGGGGAGGGACATCACTGGCCTTACCAGCAGTACTCGCAAACATGGCTAAGCACCTGCCTTGCCAGCCTCAACCGATTGTGCACCGGGGCCTGCGCGCAGTCTTCATGCGATTTCATGCCGGCAAGGACTCCATGTTGTTGCACATAGCGGCAAGGCTGTCAGCAACGGCGCCAATCTGGGCGCCGAGGTGGTCAAAGCACCAGCAGTTCCTGCCTAAGCTCGGAGACTGGATTCGCTTTTGCAGGGGGCCTTGTTGGACTTCGTTGGGGCCCTGGCGAAAGTTTGACTGTGCAATGTTAAGACTTGGCCGTGGTGGTCAGGGAGGTCCAGACCGCCACATGACTTGGAATGGCTTGCAGTAGCCTGCGCGTGGACAAAGCCCCTGCAACTGTAGATCATCATCATCGGCAAGTGCATACTACCGTTATTGGTCGAGGTTTGTTGGCTTCAGCCACTGTGCTGGCACCCTCCGCCGTATGCCGACGAGTGAGACGAATCTTGAGGCAACGGGAAAGGCTTCAGGGGATTCGTTTAGCCCAACCCCAACTCCGAACAGCAATGCGCCACCGCACGGCACAACAGTCTCGTTTCTTGTGGCTGTTTGAGTTGGGCCGTCAGGCATGGCGCGCCCCGCATAGTGCCTTTGCTTCCTGATGAGGCCTGGAAGAGTGACAGCCAGTTGACGTTAGTGTGTTCCATTGAGAAGAATGCGTCTCCCAAACCAGAGATGCTTCACAGCTTGCAGATCCGACGCCCTGGCAGGCTGGATCTGTCATGATGCTGCCTTCAATTACAACCGCAGCTCGGCAGGTCGAGAGCAGAGCCCCTTCACCGCCAAAAAATGCTGTGGAAAGTGGAAAGGTGTAAAGTCTTGAGGTTCTGCTTGCTCCGATCAGGTGACGTTTTACGAAGGCGAGCCTCCCACTTCCCTGCTCCGAGACATGACAGAGGACCATGCCGGCAAAAACTAAAAGGAAAGGTCTCAGAGCTAGTGTCTGCTGATCTCATCGGGATGTTCAGGAGATGCAATGTGCAGTGTTGGACATGTCAAGAGCTGACAGCCCTGCAGACCCTTCTGGCTGCAAACCCATGGCTGGGTGGACAACTGCGGCGAGACAGGCGAGATGTTGTGCAAAATAATTTTAGGGAGCGCAGCCGGCCTCCCTCGTGCAGACTTCGGTGGATTCGGCTTCTGTGTGCACGTGGAATGTGCCCTGCCGCAGGGCCTCTGGCAGCACTGTGCTTTGGGTGCCGGCGGATGCACCACATTCTACATCGCACTTCACCGAGTGGCCATACTGCTCTTATTTTCAGTTCTTTGAGGGTCAGCAGACGTGACCTTGCAGGTGATTGCACCCCTCCGGTTGTATTCGTGAGTTTTGAAACGGAGGCAGCTTGGTGTAGTAGGTCGTGCACGGTTGCGATGTATCGACAAAGTTCCACGACGTGTTCATTCAGTAGCCTTGACTTTGAGAAGCTCGATGTGGCGCGAAACCGTGCAGCCGACTGAAAGCTGTTGATCGCGGTAGCCAAGGACCTCCAGGCGACTGCTGACCAAGCGGATGCCCTTGCAGAGAATGCGCCGACTGCTGGAAGATGCTCCTCGTTTGTCTTTGCTTCCTTGCCACGTCTTGCTACTTTCTCACAACAGCTTAGTCAGTGAGAAGAAGCTGAGCGCAACCATCCTTGAGTAGGGCTGCTTGCCCGTCTCTCCATGGAAGCGCCCTAAGTTTCAGGTCACTGTGCCGCCGGGTGTGGACTGCCTTGACAATTCAACCCCTCTGTTTCGTGTGTCGGTGACTCAGAGAAAATTGATGTATTTTGGGAGGATCTGGGTCCTTTGCAGATTTCTTCCGGAGGTGTACATGTCTCGAAGTTTTCTGGCCGGTTTGCACGGCGGAGCGTGTCCTGGTAGAGAGACTTTGTACTCAGGGATCAGTGTGCCTTTGCACTTTACTGTTGCTTCCGGTGAAAGAGGCAGCGTGCGTCTGGCCTCACGCATGCCACTCCGTAATGGGCCTTCTCCAGAGTACCGATCAGTAAGGTCGTGACTATCGCCCCAGGCGCTTGGCTGGTTTGCTAGCCGAGTGTCGAAGCAGTGGTGTTGAGGTCCAATCGATGCTGGTCAGTCTACTCCACATTTAGACAAAGCACAAACTGCGCTTCCTCATGAGATCTGCACCAGAGCTTGTCTGTTGCAGTGCTGCAGGCAGATTCGCAGTGGTGATTTCCCTCAGCCATGTGCTGGGTGACGGCTTTACTTACTATCGGATCTATGGCGCTCTGGACGAGCGTGAGAAGGAGATAGGCCAGGCTCCCCATGCACCAATGATTTTTCAGCGCTGGAACGTGATTATATCCACCAGCGGAAAGGGACACGCACAGTCCTGTTCCCCGTTCGCTGCCTCAATAGAGCCACCCACATGACTCACAAAGTGTCGTCCAGGACCACATTGTGACGGGCATGTTTTTCATTGTCTTGTCGCCCTTTTTGTCACGGGTCATAGCGCCCATCTTAAATGAAAGGATGCCGAAATTGAAGCACAGGTTGCACAAGGTGCGATGATTCGTTGAGGTGGGTGGTCCTCGGTGGTGTGCAAGTGTGGGTTCAGAGCCCGATGTTATTGAGTAATATTCCATGTTAAAAGGACCTGGATCTTGCAAAGCGTCTGTTTGCCGAACTTGTCCTTCTGACCCTGGCATCAGGCGGGACCGTATACCCAGCCGGTGAAGGACGCTGGATGCCGCACGCAGCTGAGGGAAGCAACCATGCAACAGTGCCCTGCCCATGGAAACCTCTCGGTGGCAAGCTCACTCACTGTTTCAGCAGAAACAAGTCTATGCGCTTTTGCACATCTTCAGCTTGTGGGAAGACGACGTCTAGCTAGTCGCAGGACCAGCTCGAGTGAGACTCAACCCGATGCGCACCTGAGCAGCACAAAGGGGCATTGAATAGTCATATGCCGTCAATCTTGAGCTTGCCACTTTTGCGTGCCGTGCAGGAAAGCTCGAGTTTCCAGCGGCTATGGCTCAGACCCTCGGGATGGAAAAGGCCGGGGTGAGCAAATGAAGGCTGCGCTTGATCCATTGGTGGTGCAGGTGGCATGGCTCAACTCGCGGCGTGCGCGGTGGGGCTCCATGCTGGATCGCAATTTGCGAAGCAGGTGACTGCTGGCAGGGTGAAACGAGATGGGCAGTGACAACGGAAGGCAATGAGTTGCTGCTCGGAAACAGGAACTGACTGGATCTCATGTGGGGTAAACAGAAGCAGGGTACCGCAGATTACGTAGATGCGACTGTTCTTCTCAGCTTGCCAGCAGACCGCATGTCGGAAGGTCGTCATGACGAAAGTTTGGAGTCTGTATCATTTTTGCATGTTGTGACCTTCTACAACTTCAGCTTCTTCATGTATCAGCCTTCTTATGAGGCCGAGTATCCGAACTTCTTCTGACTGTGCAGCAGTTCTCCAGTGCGACCTCGTTGAAAGAATCTGTTCGTGAAAGAGGACCTGGAAAGTCAAGCACAGTCCGAACCATGAAGCTCGTAGACCATGACGTGCTTGGTTTTTGACGACTCGTGCAACGAGTTTCATTAAGGTGCAAACTGGGCTTTTAGGCTAAGCCCGGTGTTACCCCGATCCGAACCTTTGGAGCAACATTCTTCGATGGTTCCCGAAGCAGGCATCGCTGGAGTGCGTGGGAGGTGGACACAGCCTGGGTGGAGGAGGAGTGCCTTCCTATGAACCAATGGTGGTGCACTCATGGAAATTCGTGGAAGGCATTGCCACCGAAAGATCTTCGCCGGTGACCTGTTTAAGTCAGGATGCTCTCCAGGCCTTGATTTGGGAGCAGTCCCGCCCCGGTTGAATCTAAAGAGCAGGGCTAAGTGATCGGGCCAGGGTTCATGGTTTAGGCCAAATTACTGCGAGGAGAAGCGCCGCCAAAGCTCCGCGGAAAGCTTCGTGTCGACAAACGATGTGCCTCGGATCGTGTGAGGGCGTTGCGGACATGATGGGTAGCGGCGTAGCTTTCCCAACGTCTGGTGGTCCACAGGTCTTGACGTCGGCTTTCTTGACAAGTGGAAAGTTCGCCTATGGCGTCATGTCCGACACTTGCCTGCATGTGACCATGGGTGGTGCATGTGCAGGCTTGGCATAGAGTCACAGACGAAACATCGAGCGCTACAGAGGTGTCATGCGTTATTTGAGAGCTTACTTTACGGAGGTTCTTGAGTTATCCAGAAGAAAGATTGCTAAAAGCAGCCAGAGACGTGAAAAGGAGGCGACCAAGCCAAGCCGTGTTTCAAGCACAAGCCTCCCTTCCTTTAGACGCGCCAGTGTCAAGGTAAACTTCAGGGGCCGACTCTGTGGACTGGACAAGATCCATGCAGGCCGCTTCCGAGCAAGTGTGGGAGCAGTTGTTTGAGTGATTCGAACCGCTGCTACTGCTGCTGCTGCTGTTGCTCACTGCTACGGCTAGTCTGCTACTGCAACTGCAGGTACCCCGTTTGCTCCGATGAACTATGGTATTGTTTTCACTGTGCTGCTTTGACTGCTACTGCATCAAAAACCTCCTCGCTGTGCCAGGCAACTACAAAGGTGGCGTCCAGTTCTGGCCTGCCACTTGTCCAAAGCTTGAACCCACGATACAAAATCACGCACAACATAACCATGATACGCCGGAAACGAAGTAATATCAACAGCAGCATCAACAACAACAGCAGCAGCAACAACAACAACACCTCCAACAACAACATCGGCATCATCAGCAGCAACAACAACAAGAAGATGAACAGTAGCAATAACGATAACAGTGACAATAAACAGAACACGAGCGCGATCAGTAACAAATACAATAACCAGACCAAGACCAAGACCAAGACCAAGAACCTTCACAGCAACAGGAACAGGAAGAGGAAGAGGAAGACAAAGAGGAACAGGAGCAAGGAGCACTAACCACGACGCTGACGGCGACGACAACAGGCGAAAACAAGGACTGCAGCAGCAACAGCAACAGCGGCAAGGCTAATCCAAGCAAAGGAGGCCACCACCGCCGCCACCGCCACCGCCACCATCACCACCACCACAACCACCACCAGCACTGCCATCACCACGACACCCACGACGACTACTGCTACGACTACTACCACCACCACGACCATTGCTACTACTACCCGATCACTACCACCACCGCTACCGCTACCACTACCACTACCACTGCCACTACCACTACTGGCACCACCACCGCTACCACTACCACTGCCACTGCTACTACCACTGCCACTGCTACTACCACTACCACTGCTACTACCACTACAACAACTACT